TCTGTTTGAGGAAATACTACAAAAGCTACGCAATAAGTATCATAAGTAAGAGACTGAAGTTAAAAAAATAATTCTATTTAAAAAAGAATTTAAAACTTTCCCTGTTCTGAAAGGACATACAGTGTCACATCCTAAAAACGAATGTTACCAAGGAAAATAAAAGCTCTACTTGGCATAAACACGCTTAAACCTTAGAGCTGTTTGCCAGGGGGTTAAGGCGACATCTTCTTGGGCAAGAGCATGGAAAAGCAGTGAGATTTGGGAACCAGTGCATGTAAGTGGGTAAGTGTAGGCTTGAAAGCCTGAACCGAGAGGCCTCTCTTGGCTCTGGGGAGGCAGAGCAACGCTGGGTGGGATGTCAGACATCCCGGCGTCTCCGTGTGGCGGGCGGGCTTGGCGCTGCCTCCTGAGCACAGCTCCAGAGGAGCTGCGTGCTTGTAGGGCACGGGATGAGGCCCCTCCGCCCGGCCACTGCGTGCGTCCTTCCCACTAGGACAAAGGGGAAGGAACTGGTGTCACCGTGTCCCCCAGGCAGCCCACAAGACAGCCACCACCTCAAACGTCCCCAGGGAGGGAGGGGGCTGCGAGCTTCTGCAGCTTCGTCTCTACTTTGCATCTCTTTGGGTTTTGGCTGACTCCACAGCAGATATTTAAAATGTTGAGAACCTCAGCCTACACTAGCCAGGCTGCATGCTGCAGGTCCACGTGGAGGCAGGGATGTTGTTTTTAGAACCAGCGTAAGAAAATCCATCAGTCGAGATCAAACGTTTCATGGTAGATTGAAAAAATATACCAAAGTTACCCAAGTCTGTTATGTTCTTTGCTAATACAGTTCAAGGGTTTATTTCTTTGGAAACCCTTACGTGCTGCAGTCAGAATGCTGGAGTATTGATTTACCGATGAGATCAGCTTTTAGAAGATGTCTGAGCTTGTAAAGGTGCTCAGGACGGGCGATTCCAGAGTACCTACGAGCTAATAGGTTTCTAATGCTCGCCAAGTTGTTACTGACCTTCTCGATGGTTTGCACAATTCCAGAATTTCATTCTGAGGGTGTCTGCCCAGCCTCGACCCCCCGCTGGCCCACTCCGGGGGGTTTGGCAGGAGCAGAGAGTGGGGACAGCCCTGGGCGCAGCAGGGACCGGGACCCACCAGGACGGTGGCCCCAGTGAGCACCAGGACAGCGACCCCAGTGGGCACCAGGCCATGCCCAGGGCAGTGGGAGGATGTCTGAGGGACGCCAGCAGCTGCCTCACCCCCACGCGGCTCCAATGGCCCCCAGGCAGTGTAAAGGTGTTCCCCTGCTGAGGCAGCAGGCAAAAGTTGAGATTTACATAGCTGGGAGACACCGTGCAAAGCGGAAGAGAGGGGAGAGGAGAGACCGCAGCTTGGGGTTTTGTTTCGTTGTGTTTTTTTTTTTCAATTATTGTTTTTGTGGTTCATTTCTGAAAAGCTGCTACTTCCCCTTTTTTCTTGAACTCCCTTCCCTTAAAAGAAAAAAAAACTTTAAGAGAAATTGAAGAAAGCAACTAGAGCTCTGAAGCTGCACCCTGGACAAAACAAGTCCGTACGGGAACTCCTGCTGACAAAACACCAGATGCCTGCGTCCTAAAACATTTCTCCCCGTGCTGCACTTTGCTAACGCGTCCCCCGCATGTGGGGACTGCAGCAAGTAGTGAGATGGGCATGGGGGGCCTGGAGCTGACGGGGGTAACAGCCTGTCCTTGCAGTTTGTGATGTCAGGAATACTGTGACAGCACCACGCTCGTGTCTCCTGCTCGCTCACCCCCTCCGGCGCAGGCAGGAGCAGCAGAGCCACTTGCCCCCAGCGCCTGCTGCAGGTCCCCAGCCCTGCTCCCCAGCCCCCTTCTCGCTCGGTACCACAGCCCGTAGCTGCGTACGGAGATACACCCAGTTACCTCAAGAATAGGAAAAAAATAAAATTCAGGCTTTTAGGTCTGCGGGATCCCAATGAGAATGCAGAATCTGCTCTGCGTGCCCCAGACAATTTGGCTGAGCTTCCCCAGGGCCCCACAGCCAGGCTAATGAGAAACTCCCCAGCAACCCCCATGTACAATGCTTCCATAGGTCTTTAAAATGCCTTAAATTCTCCGTATATTTAGTAAGACTTTTTACTTCTTTAAAACGTCCCTTGCTGCTCCTCAAGATAATGCTCTCGTGATGTATTGCAACAGCAACGCAGCGCTGCAAACAAGGGCCCAGCCAGGCAGACGCTGAGCTTTGCTTTCCTGGCTCTGAGGCAGCAGCGAGCCCCCAAGCAGGGCAGGGCTGAGCCGGGGGCTGGGGGCTGCTGGGGGCAGCGGGGACCCCACCGTGCTCCTTGGCCGGGACGGGAGCCGGACCTGCTGCCAGCAGCGAGTGCTACTGGTGGGCTCTGCACCAGCAAGCTCGGTCCTCGGGGAGGGAGAGGAAAGGAAGAGCTTTCCTTCCCGCTGCATGAAGGAAAAACGGTGATGAGAATGGAAGAGGAAGGGCACTTGCAGAATGCCCCTTGTAAACAGGGCTGGTGGGCACTGCCGGTGCTTTCCAGGGCAGGGGGCAACCTGCGCCTCCCTGCGCACTCTGCCAACCCTTTGGGTCAGCGCATACAGCCCTCAAGTTGCCAACCCAAAAAGAAAAGAATCCTAAAACTATTCCTAGTTGCATTTGAAGTATTGAAATCCCACCGTGGCAGGTTCTCCCAGCACAAGGCTGATGTGCCCTGCCATGGCAAACAGCACCTGGCACAACGCGCCCGAGGAGCATCTCCGCAAGCAGCTCCTTTGCCCCACAAATTCCGCCTTGCCTTACCAGGAAGGCTTCCAGCATGGCTTACACTGGTTTGGTGAACACAGCAAGCTCGAGCAACAAAAGCATCTCCCCGGGGCTGCTCCTCAATGACACGCGGGCCTTACAAGCGCAGCTACCAAGGGCACTACCTGGCCGTGGCTCCCTCGCGCTGCCCCGTGCTCACCCCGCGGCTTGCCCCGTGCCGGCAGCAGCGGAGCAGAGCAGCAGCACGGCTGCTCAGAAGGCGCTTGGTGTGCGTTTGCACACACACAGAGATGTACAAACACACGCAGGAGAAGAAGGCAGAGAAGTATGTTAATTTGAAACATCTGGCAACTGTTTTGGAGTTAACAAGTCTGGTTTTTGGCCTTTTGTTTAATTTTTTTTTTCTGCTGGGGGGTTAAGCAGGGGAGGCAAGCTTGTCATTTGGGGCTGGGGAAGGAAGGGGCATGAAAGGAGAAGTAGAAGCGTGTTTTTTCACCCGTTATTGAAGTTCAACATCACCCTACTGGAGCTAATGCAAACAGGAAGATCATAAAAGAGCATAATGAAAGTCTCACGGGCTGGGGCCGGGGGCTGGTTTCAGTTACGGGCTGTAGCCGGGGAGGCACACCACACAAGAGCGAGGCTCCGCCGCACACCGCTACGCACCGCGGCGTGCGATGCTTTTTCTTGGTCGCTCCTCAGTCCCATTGCAGCCTCTGCCCCGTGCCCTGTACTCACAGGACAGCACACCGTGCCTTTATACGCATGCAAGGCCGAAGCCTGTAGCTGCTGAATGCATTGAAAGGAAAACCCACCAGTTAGCACACATTTTCTTTAAGCCACCATAAATCACACTTCCAAAACATCCAAGGTGTCAGATGTAGGGTAAAATGAGAGCTATAATTATGGCAGTAAATGAAGACCAATGTAGGAGACCCAGCTAATTTGGGAAAAGCCTCTTACAGGCTTTGTCACCTACAGCACAGTCACCGCTACCATGCACAAATCCCAAATTAACTCCCACTGCACAGAAGTGACTGATGCTACTGCTTTGAGCCTCAGCCTGTGTTGAGCCGAACACACCCTGAGGCCAGCAACAGCACCATCCATCACGGGCACAAAGGGGCACCAAGGGCACCGCCAGGGCTTGTGGCAGGGTCGGCCACCAAAGAACAGAGAGAACAAGAATCCCTCAAAGCAGCCCTGGCATGGGGAAGGATGTGCCCATGCCACGAGGCACCACGCCGAGGCAGCCCATGCTGTGCCGAGCAGCCAGATGCTGCCTCCAGGAGGAGAAGCCTCCTGCAAGCCCATCTCCTGGTGACTCCCAGCCGGCCCGTGTGGAACAGGAAGGCAGCACCAACAATGATGCTCGTGTTACTGCTTGGTTTCTGAGTGGCTTTCGCGCCACTGCCGAGTCTCGCCGAGAATACCCTTGCCAGTCCCAGGAGGAGGGCACAGTGGTGGCATAATTGTCTTGAGAGTCAAGAGCATCCTGAGAATCTCATAACCATTAAAGACATACCAGACAGTAAAACATCAGCACATGTGGCACACAGGGACTGGGACGTGGCTAGTGACTTACCCCGAAGTTGAAGTACAGATGGATCTGCCATGTACATTTGCGTTATCAGTACACATTACACAGCTACGTACAAGCTTGTTTTATCCTGCTGCGTTCCCCGAGCCTCTCTTTATTCATGTTTTCAGTGCAATACAGATGAGCATGTCCCAGACACATGTTTAAGTTCTCTTACTATCAAAGAGACCAAAAGCTGGTTCAAATGTTAAATCTTTCTGCCATGGCAATGTACCACTTTCATCCTCCAGCTCCGACAGTACTTTCCAATTTCCTCCGAGAGGAGAAACACACACATTCCAGTTGAGACTGAAGTTTAAAATTCCTATTAAAGCCGCTTTTATGTAATTAGATTGGAATGAATGTGCAACAGTGCCCATTGCAGAAAACTTCAAAGCGGTTATACTGGAGAAATCGCAACCCGCTTCAGTGTGCCCACAAGAAGGAGGAATGGGTCTCCAGAGGATAAGAGTATATTAGTCTCTGTATGTAATAGATTTTATTGACCATATGGAACTGATATAAAAATTGTGTTGCAGTGGGTAGTCTTGGATTTGAGACAGGAATGTGACATACAAAATACAGTTTCTGTAAAAAGCCTGGCAGCTTTCTGGCAGTTTTTGCAATCAGAAGAACCTAAAATATTTACCTGATTGAGTCACTGATGAGTCCCAGTTCAAAGCAAAATCCGAAGATTCGCCCTCTTCCACTGAAAAAGAACAAAAATATGTTGTGATTGCTGAAACAAACCAACTGGAAAGCAAAACCATCAGAAAAGTAGGTCTGCTATGACATTAAGTGTTCTACCAGACTTCTGCACCAGTGAAAGAGAACTTACTGCTTTCCATAAAATAATTCATAAGGCGGAAATTTAGTAGAGTTTTTCCCTACATTTTAACCTAACTATGGGATTTCTGCCTGCAGCTTCTTTCTGGATAGCTAACTGTAAGTTTACGTGAAATTTTAATAGAGGTTTAAGTACCCCTAGCTGCTAAAGGTGCATATTTGAAAGTTTGTACATTCACAACAACTTACACATACAAAATTACCATTGTGAACTTAGAGGTCATTTTTGAGATCCATGTAACGCATCATAGTAAGGAACTGTCCCATGAAGGGAGAATTGCCTGACTTACATAATTAACACATTAACAACAGTTCTTCCGTGTTCAGAATTAAAAGAAAAAATACTCTTATAATGTGCAAGTGATTTCTGTAATATGGCAGTCATAAATAAGTGCATTTAAGGCTTGATGATGTGAAAGCTGTCAGAGCCAGGTGCTCAGCACTCACAAGCGACGTGTATATAACCTGCCTGTTAGGAGTTATAAAATTTCATTTCATTCTTACAAATAACGAAGAGACCAGCTGACAACAGGCAGGCTAGCTGAGAGCTCAATCCTGCTGTTCCTGAAGTCAGTGGCAGCCTCACTGCTGCCAGACCGTGTGTTTGAAAGCGGTAACTGCAGAAATTCTTCTTTTTAATCATAAAAGTTGATCACCTTCATCTGCCTGCTCTGTCACCACGACACCAAAAGAATTTAAATCACCGGTCTTTATTTCCTGATGAAAAGTATTTATTCCTTGCACTGAACAACCTCTCACCTTTTATCTAAATACTGCTGGATATGAGTACAAGTCCTACATAATTCTGCAACTGAAATCAAAGCCATATTGCAAAGCCCCAAGCACGAGTGCTATTGAACAGGTGGGACGTGTGTGCCCAGCCCTGGAACCTGCTGCAATGCTTATTTACATTGATTATTCACATTTGCATCACAACATTCTTGATTTTATGCTTTTTCTCCATCTTTTCTCTTCCTTTGAGGAATTCCAGCATCCTTTAAACTTGTCTGTGGAGGCTGGTGTCATCGATGACATCAATGAGCCATTAGGAACAGAGGAGATAGCTTACACAGGCAGTGCTTTGACAAATTTCGATTTTCTGTTCAGCCCTCACAAGCAGCACACATTGCACAGAAGGGCACAGTGCCGGCCATGGTGGGCTGCAGGTTTATTAACTAGGGGAGAACTCGCTACTTCTGCTCAAAGTCCTACTTCAGACAGCTATGTTTTTTCCAGAAAGAAATAAATCCATGTTAGCACAAAGGCCATGTCAGGTAATTCCAGAAGGGCAGAAGCCCGTAAGCTGTGAACGTCCTGCAGCCACTGGCAGGGACGGGGCGGGTGGGATCACACCTGCGCTCTCCTAGGGGCTCGCCCGCCATTTTGTGCTCAGTATGCCGCCATCTTGTTAACATTTTGACCCATCTCTTAATAGAAAAACTCCGGATATAATATCCTAAGTACAGTTTCCTAAGTACTTATGTATCCTAAGTACAATTTCACTTTCATACAAATATCTCATTTTAACATTAAAATCCACATAAAGTTAGGAGGATTTTGCCCCGAACTAAATAATACTTCAGATACCTTACTCAGACAAGTGGAAGGTTTTAATTTTATTTTCTCCATGACTGCTTTTTGGCTAGTTGGTTTGGACAGGTTTCTTTATTAGTAATTTTATGCTGGGTTTTTGTATTTCTTGATATTTTCTCTTAGAAGGTAGGGTGGGGAAAAAGTCTACTGAAAAGACACAAAGGCAATAAATTCAGTCACAATCAAGCCACAGCACACAACACCAGTGCAGGCCATCAGCAGTTGCAGCCACACGCTGCCTTTCACTTTGGCCAGGCCCTGCAGACTGCCCCAGTCCTGGAGCTGCCTTGGGGCAGCCAGCTCCAGCAAAACGGCAATTTTAGGGATCCCCTACACGAGTGCAAAGGGTTGAGCCTGCCTCTGCTGGCATTAACTGGCTCTGCTCCCTAATGACTGAAAAGGGGACAGAGAACACAGACGTGAAGGCGGCGGCTCCTAAACCCGCCCTGTGGCACTGCAGCCCTGCTTTGGGCTGCGGGTTCCTCCCTGCTCTGCACGGAGCCACCACGCAGCCGACCGCGCCGCACCTCCCGGCAAGGAGCCAGCAAGTCTTCCTCTGGCCGCTGCTTGCATCACTGTTCCCTTCTTTTATTTTCATTAGAATTTTTTTATAACGAAGGAGAAGGGGTAAAAGAGTGGCTGAAGCTGGGGCTAAGCTCCGGAAGGTTGGGCCTTGCCACAGGCACGCAGTGTGACCATAGGGAGGGTGCTCAGCCCCACCCGGCCTCTGCTCCCCTCTCCTCCACAAACACAACTTTGAGCTGAGAGGTTTGTCTGTGGCCACCTTTATCTGGATGTCAACCTTTATTTGTGAGTCACTGCTTGAACGGGTGTCACTGTGATTTCACCTCGGCCATGACAGCAAGCAGAAGCCACAGAAATCAGAGGAACAGAACATTTTTTTTTCCTCCCCAAAATCAGCCTGCACAGCCAAACAGCAACAGCTACAGCCTGCCCTCCGTTGTGCCCAGCCATTACGGGCCTCATGGGGAAGCCGGAGCTTTCCTGGGACAGTCGGAGGCTCAACGATGTAATGCTCACATCGGGGACAGGGAGTCCCACGGCCATGTCTGGGGAGAAGTGCCTTGGGACCCCAGGGAGGGCAGGGTGGGTTGGCAGCAGGTCCTGTGGCTGCGGCTGGGAAGGGTTCCCAGCTCTCACTGTGGAGAACTGAGGCAGAACCACCCTTGGCCCATAATATCAGCCAGAGTAATTTACTTCAGTTGATTTTTCAGTTAAAGCTTCAATTTCTTAATATTTTGGCTGTCACTCCTTGAAACCTAGTTTGACTCAGGTGGCCAGTTTGTATTACCACTCACTTTGTGGATGCTATTATTTAAGCAGCCGTAATGGGGGAAAAAAGCCTACGAAGAGGTACAAAGTGTTCGACGTGATTACTTTCACAATACGTAGCACAGTAGAATAACTCCCATTTCATTAGCAAGAAAATAGGCTTTCTGAGACACACCAGACGATCACAGTTGCTGAAGCCAGGGACCAGACCCTGGCCCTGTGCTGGCTCACCTGGGGGCATGCAGGCGCACACCCCACACCCCGATGCTCGGCCCCAGCAGGATACGGGCACTGCGGAGCCCCACTGCCATCTGGCACATCCTGCAGCCTGGGAACACGGCAGGGAACCAGCACGGTTTCATAGGGAAAGCTGAGATTTCACAGAGCAACCAGAGATGTTGTATCTGCTTCACTGCTCTAAAGTACTAAACCTTCATATCAATGTCCACAGCACAGGATTTCTATATCTAAAGCATCAACTTTTGTGTTTGTTTTGTTTTGTTTTGTTTGTTTGTTTGTTTTGTTTTTGTTTTTCCCATTCTGCCCCCATTATTCCCCAGCACTGGGGGCCCCATTGCATGCCCCCCGAGCAGAGCAGATGAGGGATCTGGGCACAAGACCCAGGGCAAGGGCAGCACAGCCATGGCCAAGGGGTGACATCGCAGCATGGCACTCCCGTGCACCCCAAATATTTTCCTTTTGCCCACTTGTCTCAGCCATCCTTGGCTCTCCAAGGATGCTGATTTAATTGCTAGGTCACGAGTGCTGCAGGCACAGAGATTTCAGTTCTTTGTGCTCAGAAAAACTTCTGACAGGCTTCAGCATCCATTTCCCCAAGAGCGAGAGCATCTATTTATGGGGCTACCATTACCTGCGCTCCATTCACAGCCACAGTGCTTATTTAACACTTTATCACTCCCAGGAAAGAAGTTAACCTTATCAAAGGAAGACGCTTCTGAACCAAATGTTGATTTCTAGATGCAATCAAGCTTTACAAGCGAGCAGCAGCCCTCAGCAATTCAGATGGCATGTGCGTGCTCCCTTATCCTATTACACAGGCTTCGAGGACTGGTTTAATTCTTCTCGTAACACAAAAACTCCCTGATACGCACACTAAACCTCCAGGAACCGTGGCTGTGTGAGGCCTGGCCAGGAGGCATCCCTACACGGGGCTGTGGCGAGGAGTTGCAGTTGGACGGAGCCACGCCACTGCCCGCAGCCCGAGCTCGGGCACCATGAACCTGAGAGCCCGAGTGTGCCATGCTTGGAGGATTTTATCAGATGTTGTTTATGACAGACCGCTCTCAGACAAACTCAGGGAAGTCTCAGTGATGGCTGCGTGTTAGCTGCAACGCACGAGTCGAGATTCACTGCTCTCCCTCTAGAGAAATGCTCCAGCACCAGGCCTGCCTCCCAAGCCACTCACACAACGATCACACATTTTCCCTGACCTGTCTGGGGGTATTTGCAAGCAAGATCTCTGTGACGTTCCCAAGTCTTTGGGTTCTTCTCTGCCTTTCAGATGCACACTTTAATGCTGTCTGACCCAGCCTCTGCTCTGCCGCAGTCTTCACACAAAGCCATACACTCCCAAACCCATACACCAGGCCGAGCCCCATGTGCCCAGCTGGGATCTGATCCTGCGAAACGTGGAGCAGCTTCGATGCCAGTCAAGTCCAAGGGAGTGGAGGATGCTTAAAACTTTATGGCTGGAGCGCTGCAAATCAAGGCACATCTTGAGGTGCAGGTCGGCTTGCGAGTCGTGGGGCTTCACAGGGTATGGGGAACACACACCAGAGAGCATGTCCTGGGGCATCCACCTCACCTTGCAGATGGAAGGGAAGTGCTGGTGCCTCAATGCTCATCCTAGCCTGCAGTCTGTCCCCTGCAGGAGCCCCAAAACCACGAGCTCGCCGGCACCTTTCCCTTGGCACTGTCACTCTCAGCTCGCAGAGGGGACGAGCCCAGCAGCTCCCT